TTACTTTACTTTACGTTACTATACGACGACGTAAGTAAAGTAAGAACGACCACGCGTCACTACACTCTCTACTACTACACACTCTCTCCTTCCTCCTCTCTCTCTCTCTCTCTCTCTCTCTCTAAGACGATTGCTTCCAGCTAAAAGCGAGAAAGTATCAGAGGCAGAAATTCAGGTATTCTCTCTCATGATCTCTCTTTCTCTCTATTCCTTTTCTCCATGTGACCTGAACAAAAGTTCACAGTTTTTACTCTTGAGTGACGGCTATGGATCTGTCCTTGAATTAGTTTTAAAGCCGATGATCTGGCTTCATCTTCTGATCTTGTACTTCTCTAAGCTCGTGAAAAAACCCTCGATCCCAGTTTCAAACCTCTCAGTTTCATGCCTGTTTTCATTTTTGACGATTCCATTTGTGTTATTTGGAGAACAAGAGTTCGTATTTGATAAGAATTAGGGGTCCAATTCGTTTAAGGACAGTGTTGATCTGTAAATTGCAGTTCTCAGCAAAACTGGAACATCGTTGTTGGCCTTGATTTTGCACGAGGTAACCGATGTTAATTTCACCATTTATTGCATGATCGAGTTCGCTCCAGGTTATTTTTTAACAAATCTCTAGTTTATTAATCGTTCCTCTGAGGAATGAAGCTCAAATTTTCAAAATCAGGATCAATATACTGGTGAATTTTGTAGCATTTTTCAGTTTTATTTATTTATTAAGAATTATGTTGTTTTATTGCATTGATAGACAGATTGGCATGGGTGATGACATCTTAGTTCTTATATAGTAATTAGTTTTCTATTGATCCAAATACAGTTCTTTGTAAAAACTCTTATTCATTTTCCTTCTATACAGGGCTGTACTCTAATGTTGTATTCTTAATTCAGAAAGAGCTGCTTTCCTTCTGATCGTTTCTCTTTGAGTTGCAGTTCTAGGATAGCATGCAACAAACTCAAAGACACAAGCTTGTGGATGATCTAGAGTTTGCATGTTAAGATAAGAGTCAATTCACTTTGTCTAAGAACTTGGATTATAAGATCATACGATGAGAAAAAAACAAAAAACAAGAACTTGGATCATAAGATCAATGGCGTTTACCCTTATACATCAAAAAATTTAAAAGAAGATAGGTGGTAATTGTGGATCTCTTCCTCCTTTCCCTGTTAACTGTAGTATCATCACTGTTTCTGTCTGTGCCACAGTTTTGAATGATCTCTGGCCTAGCAGGTGATTTTTCACTTGAGATTGTTTCTAGGGCATTGTTTCTGCTATTGCTTGAGCGATTATGCTATGAAATCTACAACAACCTCTATCACGTTAAGGCATGGGTGCATCTCTTTTTTTATGCCATCTATGGCAATGTATGCATGGCTTAACTGTGAAAGCTGTGCTGCTGCTTGTTATTTAATGTACTGAGAGCAATATGTTGTGTTTTGATCTCTCTTTACTCGTTTTAAAGTCTTCTCTCATCCATGAATTCATTGAGAATATCCTATTTTTAGGCTTGTCTATGTTGCATGACCGTTTTTGTTATGTCCTCTTTATGGAAAATTTGTCTAAGTCTGGTCTTCTAACACCCCACCTTAAATGAAGTGTTAACAGCAGGTTTTCATAACAAAAAGAAATAGATTTTGTGAAGGTCTAAAGCATCTAATGCATGATGTCTACAAAAGACAGAAACACTATGACGCTCATGCAGAGGTTAATGCAAATGGCTTATATTTCTTTAGGCAAAAAAATAATATCTAGATACGATATAATCCACTGGAATCTCAAAGTTTCCCTCTCAAGTTCGTTTGTAGGTATCCATCATGTGAAGCTTGTAATGAAGCTTCTCCAACTTGGCTAGTTTTAGGTCCTTTAGTGCATCGTAGTCCTTTAGCTCATCATAGCCACATCTCATTAACTGTGATATTGTGTACAATCTATTAATCTTGTGCAGTTTTCAATAGCTCGACTTGGTCCCTGCAAAAACCAGGTCAACTTACTGAGTTAATCAGTTAACTGGAAAACCTCCAGTGAGTTTTCAATTTTCTCTGAAGATTTTTTTTAAATTTTAATAAAACAAAAAGTGCTTGTAAGAATACAAACCCAGCTTCTCAGGAAGTCATAAAACATTTGCTACAATATGTTAATATTACACAGATAATTGTATATAACCAAAACTTGGGCACAAGTCAAATTCTTAATTTACATAGCTTGTCCACTGGACGCGTCAAGTTGACTTGGTGAACATTTGTGTCAGAAAAAAGTTTTATTCACTGATTTTATGTCCATCACTTTGTCTAGTATAAAGCATTTATCCACTTCTATAAGCTTTCTCTTTTCACGGAACTGTAGTTTGTTGGGTTTATGCGGTGCATTTTGTTTGTCACAATACATCTACATGGAGGGAGTTGGTCTCATTCTTTTTGTTTTGAGGAGAGCATATCGAGCCATATCAGCTTGCATATTGTGGATTTGTCATGCTGATCTCAGATTTACTTTTCTCGATTGTTGTATTACCACCAGATCTTCAATAATGTGTAGTCCGCTTCCTATTTTGTGTCAACCCATAGTTTGTTCATAAAAGATGTTTACATCTTTGCTATTTGTATGAAGACAAATCTCTCTATATAGAAATAATACATTTCATTATCTCATAAACAGGTCAGGTGGATTGTCTTGTGCATAACTGGCTAATAATGCTCACTTCACATGTGATATATAGGCTAGGGATGGTTTTGTAAAGTAACTTCTATGTGAGCGTCCATTACATCTCAGGTTCTGTAAGATGCTTTTTATTGTAAAAACACATCTAGTGTTGTCTGTCACTTGGCTTCAACCAAAGAAGTTAACAAGTTATCTTTATCCTAGGCTGAAGTGAAGAACTTCTCAAAAAAGTTTAGGCCAAAGCTTGGACCCTCTTTGGTTTGCTCTGGCTGAAGACACTGAAGATGACCCTTTTGGCTGAACCTGTCTCCCTTTTTTCTGTTAAGTCCAGCCATTTTTCTATTTTAACAGTTCCTCTTAAAATCCTTAGGACAAGCGCACTCCACAGAAGACAAAAAATTCTCATCGATGGGATGTTCATCATCTGATTGAAATGATTCCTTTTCCATTTGATGGCCCTATGATTTCAAAACAACTCAGTTATTCCCCCTTATAGAAAAGTTGAAAGATAGTAGTATATAAAGTTATAAAGTTATTTGGTTCTCATATATGGAAACATCATTCATATCTAGACAATATGATTTGCGAATTCTTTACTGCTGCAATTGCAAGCATCAAGAGCTCAATATTCATCTCAGACTGGGATAGAGATCTCCATGTAACCAATTCTAGATGCATGTCGCTAAGCCACATGTTATAACGTGTATCTTCCTATTGAGCCATTTTTCCTGAGATTGATCCTTGATACCCATATCGAGTCAATGGCTTGCTTCCTATTCGAGATGGCACAAACTCATATGTGCATCCTTTCCTCATTGTGTAATTAGATTTTCATTGAGATTTTTGCTTATTATTCATTTGAGTTCTCTTTCCTGCAGAGACAATACAATCCTCTTGCTTTGGTTCTTTGTTTTGTTTTTGTTTTTGTTTTTGTTTCTTATTTAGGTTGTGATTTGTGAAACACTCGAATTTGGAAGCAGGAGGTTTGCAAAATCGGAATCAACGATACCAGATTACGAGGGTAGCTTGCAATGGCTGGATCTGTTAAAAATATGGATCCTGCATTCCAGGGAGCTGGCCAAAGAGTGTATCCTAAATGGCAACATTGCATTATTTTGATTATTATAACATGAATCTTTTGACGCATGACCAGTTGTATTTCGTAGTGCATGTTTGGAAATAAACTTTATTATGCTGTAACCTCTTTGTTCAGATATGCTTTGTGGTCTCTGTTCTTTTTGCATTCTTTAACATCTTGTAGAGGCATGGAAATATGGCGAATTGAGAATTTTCAGCCAGTGCCTTTACCAAAGTCTGATTATGGTAAATTCTACTCCGGGGACTCTTACATTGTTTTGCAGGTAATCTCTCTCTCTCTCTCTCTCTCTCTCTCTCACACACACACACACACACACACACACATAAATGTTCAATATAGTTCTTATACATATTTTTCTCTTAATTCATTTAGAGGATTTCCTGTATCAGTGTTTTGTGGTTGGGTGATAAGGTTTTTATGCAACAGCCTGCTTGTTTTCCTTTCCTAGTATGTCAAGCAAAGATAAAAGTTGAAAAAGTTTTACTAAGGTTATAATTCCAGAGATTTGATCCTAATGCCTGTGACACATCCTGATCATTCATTTCCCTTTTCAACCTTTTATTAATCTTTTTCTATGCTCATGTGTTTAATCTGGCTTCGAGAAATTATGTCTCTAGATTGCCTTCCAGGGTTTACATTGCTTAAAAAGTTTAGGAATCATTTTCTTTCTTTGCCAAGTTGTTTGGGAGTGGTCATCACACCTTTTTCTGAATGTTAAACATGGTCCTACAGTTTCTTTTCCGATAACTATTTGAGATATCCTTCTTCTAAATGTTATTTGCTGGAATCTGACATATGCTTATGCATTTGCTGATCGGGCATGTTGCTTCTCTTGAGTTTCCTTGTAAAATTAATCTTAGCAAAGATCTCTTGCAGACAACTGCAGGCAAAGGAGGTGCTTATCTTTATGATATTCACTTTTGGCTGGGAAAAGATACCAGTCAGGTATGCTATTTTTATTTCAGTTTCCAACTATTATGATTTGACAAGATTAGTTCTATTGTTCTCTTTCTGCTTATCACACAAATATGGAATTTGGATAGGATGAAGCTGGAACCGCAGCAATCAAGACAGTTGAACTTGATGCAGTCCTTGGCGGTCGTGCTGTGCAATACAGGGAGCTACAAGGTCATGAGTCTGACAAGTTTCTTTCATACTTCAAACCTTGCATTATTCCTCTGGAGGGGGGTGTTGCCTCCGGCTTTAAGACACCTGAGGATGAAAAGTTTGAAACAAGGTTGTACGTCTGCAGAGGCAAACGAGTAGTAAAACTGAAGCAGGTTAGAAGTCTTTGTGGCATTTTTGCAGATAGGCAGTTATAATTTGATTATTAAGTTCATGAAGTTCAAGGATAAGTTATCCTTTTTGAATCCTTCACGCAGGTTCCGTTTTCCCGCTCGTCGCTCAATCATGATGACGTATTTATCCTTGACACTGAAAATAAGATCTATCAATTTAATGGTGCAAATTCCAACATTCAAGAAAGGGCAAAGGCTTTGGAGGTCATTCAATTTTTTAAGGACAAGTATCATGAGGGAACATGTGATGTTGCTGTCATTGGTAAGGAACTTTGCTTTGTTATAGTGTTATTTACTTTGATCTCTGTTAGTCCTCATCACTTTTGCCCTCTTGCTTATTATGTTATTTGTCTAAATAACTTTGAATCTACTAGATGATGGAAAACTTGTAGCAGAGTCAGACTCTGGTGAATTTTGGGTTCTCTTTGGAGGTTTTGCCCCCATTGGGAAAAAGGTTGCAAGTGAAGATGATTTTACATTGGAGACTACTCCTGGAAAACTCTACAGGTACTTTGCCCATAACATGCATCCCTTGTATTATTTTCCTCCTCTTTATTATTAGACTATAACAATGCTCTACCCTGATTTCATTCTTCATGTTTTTTTCCCTATTTTTCATCTTTGAAATATTCCCATTCTCTATGTTACTATCATCCATAAAGATCTTCTGTTGGACTTTGTGGGAATCTTACTTGCAGTTCGTCTTTCTCATGAACTTCTAAGGGCCCTCGGCTCCGCATTTATTTCTTTTTTCCTTCCTGTTATACACTACTTTTGACTCACTGCTGAAAGGTCCCCATCCTTGATCAGGGTCTCCATTTTACCCTGTTACTTTTGTCATACGGTCATACCTCTCTTAGCTTCCTAACTGTCTCCTGCTGATTTTTTTCTCGCATATTGCATTTGTTCCTTCTAACTCAATGCACTGAAAGCCTTGCTTCTCATCATGTACTTTTAAATGACCTGGAACTACATAGTAAATCAAATGGGATTTTTCTAATTGACTTAACCAATTAAAAATGCTAATTAACATAAGAATATGGAGGGGCAGATTGTGTGTGGGTTTCTGTTGAAGCTCTCTATTCTGGTGCTGCATGCAAACCATT